GGAAATCGAGGACGGAGGCGAGGCGGACTTCCTTCCCCCCCAACGACCCCGAGGGCCCCATGGTGGAGACGGAGCTCCTGCAGTCTCTGGTGACCATCATCCGGCAGGAGGGCATCGAGCAGCCTGTGCGCCTCCTCATCACAGGGAGTCTGGCGGAGGCCATGACAGACTCGCTCAGGGACGGGCAGTCTGGCACGCAGGAGCTGGCGAAAGAGCTGGTCATGGAGGTCCTGGCAGATCCGAATTCGGCCGCGGCGGTGCAGCACCTGCTGATGAGGCCCGAGCTGGCGGCCTCCCTCCGGGGGCTGGTGCACCCCCTTCTCCTTCTCCCCTTCACCAAGCGAGAGTCCCATCGCCTCCTCAAGCAACAGCTGGACTGGCTCATGGTCCGGAACCCAGCCACGGAGCAGTCTCTCGGGGGCCTGGGGCAGCTCTTGCTTCGGCTGGCCTCCACGCGCGCGGCCATCGCCTCCCTCCTCTCCTGGTCCCTCTCCCCCTCGGGGCCCCTCCCTCCCCTCGTCACCGACCTAACCAGCGACCGGCTCGTCCCCCTCCTGGCGCCCGCCACCACCGGGGCCTTGACGGGCGCCGTTCACGAGGCTCTGGAGGACGAGTACATCCGGGAGCTCGCAAAAGACACCATGAAAGGCTTGCTCCTGCGCGTTGCTAAAATGCACGCCGCCGCCGCCGCCGCAGCCGCAGAGGCGAGACGGCGGGAAGACGCAGAGAGCAGGGAGGTTGCGGTGAAGAGGGAGGAGGAGGAAGAGGGGGAGGGCGGGCACGGGGCAGAGACAGAGGGAGGGGGAGGGCGTGCTGAGGATCCTGAAGGGGAGGACGCAGGAGAGCGCGGCCCTTTAAAAGGGGATGAGAGGGGTAAGGAGGTCCTCGACCTTGGGAGGAGATGATGCCTGCGTTGGGAATAGACGGGACAGGGGAGTGAGCGAGGCCCCGGCGATGGAGAGAGGTCATCGAGTGTTTCGGTCCACACGTGAGACTTGAGAAGGGTTGGTCGCAGACAAAGGGCAAATGCACTGTGTATTTAAGTCATCACATGTTCTGTGCTTTTCGTTTCGGGTTTTATTGGATTTCAGAGAGGTAGCTTTGGCACGCTCTTCGACTTTCTTAGACGGGGGAACAGCACTCCCCTTCAAGAGCCAGGTGTCCCTGGCCAGCGTCCAGCCCTCTATCCCCTTCGGCCGGGGCCATAAGAATCTGACGCCGTCTTCCCCCTACCGGTCTTGGTCCTTCCCCCCATCGTAAAACTCTGCCTCGTGCTCCCGCCTCTCCCCCCCGAACCGATTCCGGTTCGACGAGCGCACATCCGGGTCCTCCTCGTCCTCTCCGCCTCCCCTCTCGTTCGTCGCCCAGTCCGGAGGCACCTCCTGCATCTGCACGGACGGGGCCCCGGGAATCTGCGAGAGCTGCTGCAAGATCTGGACCTTGATGGCCTCCAGACCCTCCGTGCTGTTCTGGTTCTCCGTCGTCCCCGGCGGCAGGTGCAGCTTATAGTCGGGGGCGTAATAGTCATAGTAGTCGTTGCGGGGGATCTCGTCGCTCACCTCCTCCTCCAAAAGCACCGAGGTTTCGAAGGCCCAGCAGCGCGCCACGTTCCTGATCGCGTAGCCCCCGCCCCCCAATATCAGGAGGGGGACGTTGTAGCCCTTCATCATCTCCACGCACTTCGCGTGCCCCCGCAGCGTCAGATTGAAGCAGCCAAGCCTGTCGCCCGACAGGGAGTCGGCGCCGCACTGCAAGACCACGGCCGAGGGCTGGTAGACTTCCATGACCTTGGCCATCACCGGCCTGAAGACCCGCTCGTAGGACGCGTCGTCGATGCCCTCCTCCAGGGGCACGTTCACCGAGTAGTACTTCCCGTTCTTGGCGCCCACGTCTTTGATGTTCCCGGTGCCGGGGAAGAAGTCGCCGTACCGGTGGAAGGAGACCGTCATCACCCGGTCCGTGCAGTAGAAGGCCTCCTCCACCCCGTCCCCGTGGTGGATGTCGATGTCGATGTAGAGCACGCGCGGGTGGTACTTGAGGAGCTCCAGGATCGCCAAGACGATGTCCTGTGGAGGCGGGAGAGGGGCGTCGACCGATGGGGAGGGAGGGAGTGAGAGAGGAGGGCGATAGGCACCGAGTGAAGACGCGAAGACCCTGGCACCTTGACCTTGGGCGTGTACCAGCCGGTAGGGCCGCGAGATTATTAGGCATTTCATGTTGATCCCGACAAAGATGAGAGCGAAAGACAAATAGAATAAATTGAAATAAAAAAATCGGATCGCGTCCGTCCGGCGTGGAGCACGTACATTTATGTAGCAGAAGCCCGACGCCTCCCCTTTCTTCGCGTGGTGCAGCCCCCCCGACCAATTCACCGCAACGTCGGTGATCTTGTGGTTCAGCTTTTGAGCCCCATCGATCGAGCAGCCGGTATATATCTTGCAGAACTCCATCATGCCGTCGAATATGGGGCAGTCGGTGTACTCGCCTACATTGAACTTGCTATGCACGCTCGAGCTTAGGGTACGGCCCATGTCCGGGTTGACACGTGACAAGAAGTTCACGTACTCCTGAGAATGGAACTTCTGCAGCTCCTGGGTGGTGGCGATGTGCGGGCGGTAGACCTCCATTTTTCGGTAGAGTCCATATCCGAGCACAAGATGGTGGGTGAGCTTGAGCCGATGGGGCTGTGGCGAGGGGGGGACAATCAGGAGTGAGCATTGCAGAGTAAGTGACAAAGCACCGTGAAAGAGGATGGCGTAAAATTTCTCGCAAATGAAGGGCGCCTTAGCGCATTCAAGTATGTGAGGATATTTTGAGCAAGCCTCCACATGTCAAGGAGGGTCGATCGCGTTTAGGAGTGGAGAGTTCGCAAAACAATGGGGCCAAAGGCCTCAAGAAAGACTCCATTCCTACACTTGTCCATCTAGAGGCACCTCGTTCCCCACACAATCAGATATAAGCACGCGCCACCGAAGGATTCTCCTTAAACGTAGCGTTTCTTACCTACCCCCTTTGGCGGGTGCACACGGTGCATCACGTACCTTCATCGGATGTCCAGGCCCGTAGTAATAATGACCCACGTCGCCGTGGTAGAAATATGACACGCGCTTTTTGGACGACATGTCCTGCGATTTGTGTCCTGGCGTGGTTGGAACGCGAACGTGGGGGGGATCGTGAGGGACGGAAGAGGGAGAACAAGGGACGTTGCCGTCCTTGGCCATCCACGTAGTTGACCTTTCCCCAAAATACGTAGTCCTTCTCTTTTTCATGTAATGTCAAATCAAGAACACCTCTTTTCAGGCTTTTGTCGACTAAAAATACATGCTCTTTTGGGGTTGTCGGGACAACGAGGGCGATGTGAACAGTTGTTACGGATCATTTATAGAGTAAAATTGCTTTGGAAAACGACACAAAGCCATGCACAAGCTAGCCTAGGTCACTTTCGTTGTATTTGTACCGCTTTGCAGTAAATATTGTCGAGCGCTGCGAGCTAAAAGGCCCGAAGCAAACCGCAGAAGGAGGACATGGGGCAGCGAGCATCATGTGATGGAAATTATAGTCAGGAAGCCGTTGTCGTTCGTATGGCTTTCCCGCCCCGGTCCTTGAGGACTTACTTTCCTTCCAGGTTTTGGGTGTATCTCCTCACACAACCAAAAGGGCTTCCCACATTTTTTTCTTGGAAGCCGACTGCGCTCCGATTTTTCTTCCTCACACGCTCGCACATTTATCTACCTCCTCCCCCACCCCCCTTTTTTGCTGTGACAGACAAGCAACCCATCAGTGAAGTATTGTGCTGCGCTCCAAAGGACCGTGTGTGGCAGGCCCTTGAAGGCCGTAAGGCCGCAAGCGTAACCGTGGAGCCGCTTTAAAGCATGGTCCAAGCATCCCCCCTCGTGCCCACGGCCCCTGCGCAGGCAGAAGAGGCGCCAGCGACGAAGGAAGACGTCTCTCTCGGGGAATTGGATGGCTTGGAGGACGTTTCTGTGGACGGAGAGTGGCACGAAGTGGTCTTGCTCCCCCGTCATGTGTTACGGGAGTCCCCGAGCCGACGCTTGGGTGTGCCTGAGGCGGTGGAACGGCGACACCGCATTTTTGGTTGTGAGCTCATCCAAGAGGCTGGCATCCTTTTGCGGCAGCCTCAGGTGGTGATGGCCACGGCCCAGACCCTGTTTCATCGTTTCTTCTACCGGCGTGCGCTGACCTCGGAAAGGGCTCAGGATGTGCCGGAGCCGGGCCCTGGGAAATCGCCACGCGTCTTCCTCTTCGACGCCTTCACCGTCGCGATGGGCTGCGTCTTCCTCGCTTCTAAGCTGGAGGAGAAGCCCCGAGCCCCGCGCGACGTCCTCTTCGTCTTCCACCACATGTGTCGTCGACGTCGGGGCCTGGGCCCCAGCCTGCTGGAGGTCACCTCTGTCCGCTACCACGACCTCCGGGAGGCCTTACTCATGATCGAGAAGTATGTGCTCAAGGAGCTGGGCTTCGGGTTCTACAGCATCATGGACCATCCCCACAAATTCATTCTTTACTACATCAAGACCCTGGACGGCACGCCGACCCTGGCTCAGCGCGCATGGAACTACTTGAACGACAGCCTCCGCTTAGACTGCTGCGTGCGCTTCAGGGCGGAATTGATCGCGTGCACGGCCCTCTACATGGCGAGCAGGGACCTCGGGGTCAAGCTCCCTGACGACCCGCCATGGTTCGCGCTCTTTGGGGCCTCCTTAGAGGAGATGAGGCACGTGGGGAACGTGATTCTCTCCCTGTATCGCGAGAAAGACGAAGAAGGAGAAGAAGCGCCACTGCGATGGCTCGAACCGTTGCACCCAGGCTCCCTTGTGGCTATGGAGGCGCTCCGCAAGGTGGAGGGGAAAGAGGGAAAGGAGGGGAAGGGGAAGGGACAGGGAGAGTCCACAGATTCGCCCGGTGCGATGGAAGTCGATGGCGCGGAAGAAGGATCCGAGAAGCATGGCGGGGGTGGGGCATCCAAGGAAGGAGAGAGAGGGGAGGGAGGAAAGGGCTTCAAGGGAAGGAGGGATGTTGGAGAGGCAGTTGGGGCGCGGGGAGCCAGGAGTATGGAGGAGAATGGGGACGGAGAGTGCGGAGAGGAGGGGGGCATATCGAAAGCGACAGACCAGGTCTCAGGCGCTCGACTTTCCCGCTCTCCCTCAGCTCCATTTTCCCCCCCGTCCTCTTCCTCTCCCCCCCGTCTCCGCCCGGTATCTGCTGCCGGGGGCAAGAAGCGCTCCGGCCTTTCCTCCCCCCGTTCCAACCGACCACGAAGACAGTCTTCCAGCCCCGCGAGCAGGAGCCGGAGTCGGAGTTGGGGCAGGGACGGCCGTGGAAGGTCGGAGGTGCAACGCCAAGGGCATCGACGAAGCCGCAGTCGAAGCAGGAGCCAGGGGAAGGGGCGTGGACGGGAGCGGGGTTCCGGTGGGGAAAGAGAATATCGTGGGGGGTCGCGTCATGACAAGAGGCATAGAAGGCACAGAAGAGATGGAGGCGATAAGGATGGGTTTCACGCGAGGAGGAATAGGGAGGGAGAGGATTTACGGGCTCGAGATTGGCGGAATGAGCCTGAAAGTAAGGAAAGGAGAAAGTACGAGGACAAGATTAGGGAGCGCCGCCGGGACCATTCGAGAGAGAGGTAAAGCGAGTGCTGCGTCGATCTTGATATATCATAAATTGAGGGAAACAGGGAACAAGTCAAGTTGATGACGCGCTTTTTCTGTGGTGTGCCCCTTGGTGATATTTGAGTTGTCTCGACTGACTGGAACAGATGCGTGGCACATTCACAGCCTATTTGAAACCTTTTGAGCACCTCTAACTGAGTAAGTCACACTCGTGTTTGACCGATGCCAGGATATAGCACGTCTATTGCTCTCTATTTTACTTTCTGCTTTGTACGGACGTGTTGCATACATATTTTTCAAGGCTTCCGGTGATGTTGGGTCGACATAAGTCCTCCGCCCGCTCGTGAAGAGAAAATGGTATTTGTGCGTTCACCTAGAAGTCCAGGTAGAAGATAATATCACGCACAACACATGGCCAAATGCTCGAACTTTATAAAGCAATGACGTGCAGTGATCCGCCTAAGCATACATGGTCATTTACTTTTTTGAAAATTTAGCCTAAAGGAAAATTGCGAACAAAAAAAGGAAGAGCATGCTTGAAATTGAACATTTTTTTCACTAGGCATCCTGTCGCACATTGAGAGGAAAGCAGCCTTATTTTTCGGGGACAAGGAGAGGAAAGCAGGAGGAGCGGCAGTAAGTGCTGAATGAGTGTGCTCGAGGCCTATGGTATCCTATACCACATAGGAACCCCGCATATTGCCTGACATCCATCATTGCAAACAGGTAATGAGATAGAGCGAGCCTTGAAAAGAGAAGGATAAGGATACATAATTTTCAGGATTATTATCTACGTGCCACAAAAAAGGGAAATAAAGTAAAGTGTAATCTGCATAGTTCTCTACATTAATTTAAAGCTAAAGGGCCAATGTTGTGGTAAGTCGTCCTAGCCATTTCTGCTGTCTTGCCTTATTGCGCCCCACACGCTTAGGTGTGGCAGTCGTCGCTGACAAAGTTTAGCGAAAGCCTCGCGCTGACCGGAGAGACTTCCATGCTTCCATGATCTGCCAACCGTGCCCGCTGCATTTGAATGACAAGGTTCTCAAAACAATCTGCTTACGTGTTGTCACTCTACAGCATGGCGTCCATGGGCTGGTTCAGGGCTCCGTTTGCCTCGCGGCCCAGCTTTCCAAAGAGCGATGCCTCGCTTCTCAGCTCCCCTGTGAGGAAGTCGACGAGTCGGAACGTCTTGGCCTTGGGACGTCTCACGACCGCGTTCGTGATGATATCTTCCGTCTGTCAACGTACAACAACTGTGGCTGTAGACCGCTCCAAATTTCGCAAATGTGCGGATACCGGGTTTTGTAAGGAGTTTCGAGACGTTGTCCCTGGGGCGCTTCCTCGATTTCGAGTAGACGCTGCCTCGCTCAAACATGACGAGCACGCTGGATTCCTAGGCGGGCAGCTTTTAAGCAGCGACGCCAATGCTAAAGCTTTGAATTTCTCTCTACAATTTTATAACGATGGAACGTCGCGACTGAAAATCAAGGAATGTGATCCTCTGCGGGAGAGATGGGAGCCACCCGACGTTGTGATCGAGGAAAGCTTGGATCCAACGGCTATCCGAGTGGACACCTCCAAATCAGATGGATCTTTGCATGTGGAGTTTGCCAACGACAAACTGTTGCGCGTGCAATTGGACCCGTTCCAAGTCGATTTGCTGGTGGGAGGCGTGCCCGCCCTGACGGTGAATAAAGGGGGCCTTCTGCATTTCCAAGCCTACCGCGCCAAGAAGGACAAAGCGAACGCGGGATCGGGTGGGGAGGAAAGCGGACAGAAAATAGAGGAGGAAGTGGTGGACAAGCATGGAGGCAAAAAGATTGTGGGGTACTGGGAAGACGGTCTGGCGATCTACGAGGATGGAAGCCGGGAGGAAAAGCCTAGCGCGGAGGAGGAAGCGGCCGAGGCGCGCCGCCTCCAGGAAGCTGCCGCAGCGGATGAGGACAAGTGGGAGGAGTATTTTGGGGGGCACACCGACAGCCGTCCGCACGGGCCAGCGTCTGTGGGGATAGACGTGCGTTTTCCCGGCGCCGAGCACCTGTACGGTCTCCCGGAACACGCCTCCAGCTTCCGTCTCAAGACAACCAAGGGCCCCAATGCCCAATACGCGGAACCCTTCCGCTTGTACAATTTGGACGTGTTCGAATACGAGCTGGACGAGCCCATGGCACTGTACGGCTCCATCCCTTTCGTGGCGAGCCACACGGCTGCCTTATCCGCCGGGGTCTTCCTCTTCAACCCCTCGGAGACCTTCGTGGACGTTGAGGCCGGTTCGGGGCATGGGGACGGATATCAGACGCACTGGATGAGTGAGTGCGGGGTGCTTGATTTGTTCCTGCTTCCAGGGCCCACTCCACGGGCGGTAGCCAAGCAAATGACCGCGCTGACGGGCACGCAGGCGCTCCCCCCGCTCTTCTCTCTGGGTTACCACCAGTGCCGATGGAATTACAAGGACGAGAAGGACGTCGCGCAGGTGCACGGAAAGTTCGAAGAGCTCGACTTCCCCTACGATGTCCTCTGGCTGGACATCGAGCACACGGACGGGAAGCGTTACTTCACCTGGGACCAGGGCGTCTTCCCCGACCCGGTCTCCATGCAGGATTCCTTGGCGGCGCAAGGCCGGAAAATGGTGACGATCATCGATCCACACATCAAGAGGGACGACAACTTCGCCATCCATTCGGAGGCGACGGCCAAAGGTTTGTATGTGAAGGATAAATTTGGGGCAGACTTTGACGGGTTTTGCTGGCCCGGTCAGTCGTCTTACTTGGACTTCACAGATGCGGGTGTGAGAAGGTGGTGGGCGGAAAGGTTCGCGTTGGATAAGTATACGGGAAGCACTTCGAATCTTTACACTTGGAATGACATGAACGAGCCCTCGGTTTTCAATGGGCCGGAGGTATCGATGCAGAAGGACTGCCGGAACCTAGCGGGCGTAGAGCACCGCGAGTGGCACAACTTGTACGGCATGTACATGCAGCGGGCAACCGCCGAGGGGCTGACGTTGCGGGACCCCAAGGGCCTGGAGCGTCCCTTCGTCCTGAGTCGGGCCTTCTACGCGGGGTCGCAGCGCTTCGGGGCCATTTGGACAGGGGACAACAAGGCGGCGTGGGAGCACCTGCAGGTGGCCGCGCCCATGCTTCTCTCCATCAACCTGGCGGGCTTGTCCTTCTCCGGGGCGGACGTTGGCGGCTTCTTTCAGGATACTGACGCGGAACTGATGACACGGTGGATGCAGGCAGGGGCCTTTCAACCTTTCTTCCGGGGCCACGCCCACCACGACACGAAACGGAAAGAGCCTTGGGTGTACGGAGAGCCGACGACGTCGAGGATTCGAGCCGCGGTCATGGCACGCTACACCTTGCTGCCCTACTGGTACACGACCTTTTACATCGCGTACGCCGAGGGGCTCCCGGTCATGCGGCCCCTGTGGATGGAGTATCCGACGGAAAAGGCGACCTTCGACATGGACGATCAGTGGCTGATCGGGCAGGACCTGTTGGTCAAGCCCGTGACAACCGCCGGGGCCACCAGTCTGAGCGTGTATTTCCCTCAGGGGCTCTGGTACGACATTGAGACTTTGTCGTCCATTTCAGGCCCTGCTACACGGACGGTACCCGCCCCTCTGGAGAAAATCCCAGTATATCAGCGGGGGGGGTCCATAATTCCTCGCAAGATGCGGCTGCGGCGTTCGTCCTCCCTTATGACGCATGACCCCTTCACGCTCGTGGTGGCGATGAACGCAAAGGGGTTGGCCGAGGGCCTTGTCTACATGGACGACGAGCACACCCTGAAACACGAGAAGGCAGGAGAATTCGTGCTCAGGAAGGTGACCCTCGCGGACGGAATGCTGCGTAATGTGCGCCAGGGGGGAGCGGAGGATAGGCCGTTCCGCAATCAAGTTGAGAGGATTGTTGTCCTGGGTTGGAAGGCCAAACCTAAAGCCGTCACGCTCTCAGTTTCCGAGCAGGGAGGGGCGGAGAAGCAAGCCACTACTCAGCGTAGCTTAGAATTTATGTACGACGCAAAGAAGCGCGTCCTTACGATTCGAAAGCCCGAGGTCATGCTTGATGAGGACTGGACGATTGGACTGCGGTAGGAAGTAGGAAGGGCTAGGGGAGGAGGGAGGTGAATGTCTGAGATCCAGAGATGTGGAACGGGCCAAGATAGAGTCGAATGAGGCGGTGAGAATAGACTGGAGGTGGTAAGCCGGAAGAGAAGGTCAAAAGAGAGGGGGAGTGTGATCTCGGGTCGTCCTGAGCGGGCCGAAAAAGTTCAAATAAAGGAAAGGAAGACGAGGGTAGAGCCCATCCGAGACACAATACTCTTTGTTTAGCGATGGTGTTCCAGCAGACTCTTTCTTTTCCGCTTGGCTTTCGTTGGACGCATGGTCATGCCTCACGAGGGATGGCAGGTGTCAATGCCTCCTGGCGCATCCGGGTCCCTGACTCGGCTTTTAACTCGCTCAAGAAGCGCTTTGGCTGTCTCCTCCGGCCGCGTACTTTCGAACGAAGTACAAACGGTGCCAGGCGTCGGCCCGTGGGCGAAAGAGAAGTGCGCCCCGCGCGCAGACACAGGGCGGTCCAAGAAGGATTGGACTCGGTCTTGTGGAACGCGGAAGACGGCTCGGTACTTACATGGAGCGACTTTGCCTTTTTCTTCCGTCTGCTCCTGTGTTTGGGTCTGCCGTGCGTCTGCTTTTTCCAGCGTCATGTGCACCTCGTCCGATGGGAAGGTAGCTGACGCACTCTGCGCGGCCGCGGTGGCTATGGAAGGTAAATCCGCGGACGATGGCGAGGGAGCTCCGGGCAGTGAAGAGAGAGAGGTCCGCGTCATCTCTTCTTGCATGCAGCCTTCTGCTACGTCAGGGAATTTTTGGGCGCCGGTCTCGATCCATCTGGCCAGGACGGACAGGACGCGCTCGTCAAACGTGTGCTGCAGGCGGGGAAAGCCGTAAAAAGCTACCCTGTCTTCCTCACCATGACCCTTTTCTTTATCACCACCGAAGTTCTCTTGACTGCAGGCATACAATCTTCTGGCGGTGGCCTCGCCCCACGCATAGGGTACAACAGCGTCCGATTGTCCGTGAGCCAGCAGGATGCGTGGCATGGTCCTTTGCTGTGGCGACTGGTAGACAGCAGAGTCTGAGGCCAGGAAGCTGCCAATGGCAAAAATCCCTGCTAGCACTTTAGTTTCTCTCGCCAATGTGGCAAGCGCCATCCCTCCACCCATGCTGAAGCCGCCCAAATATATGCGAGAAGACGAGATACCTTGCTCGTTTTCAAGCTTCTCGATCAGACTCATGAGCTCTGCGAAGGAGTCGTCCATACCGGCCTTGTCTTCCGGTGCTGAAATGTCCAAATCTACACGATCAAACCATACATTGCTCAGCGCACCGCTTGCGTAGGTGTATCTTCGAGGTTTGGCTGTAGGGCAGTGCACTGATATGCCGAGAGCGTTCATTCGCTGAGTGAAACCCGTCGCACGCAAGGCATACGCCATGTTGCCGCCATCATCTCCGCTACCATGAAGGAAAATTAAAGCGCCTTTTTCAGTATGCGACATACGATGGTCACTGCTGTTTGCACTGGATGCTGTTGGCTTGGCACGTACTGGCTGGGAAGATGGTCGCGAACTCCAGCACGTAGTCGAGGAAGAGAAGAGCGCCGCGGCGGTCACAGCCGCCCAACGGGTGGGCCTGAGCCAACGTAGGAACAGAGTAGGCGTCAAAACCTGCGGCACAATTTTTCCCTGAGACAAGGCGAGCTCTCCATGGTGAGTAGTCGTTCATCCGACGGGCGTGACGACACAGACACAAGGAGTAAGGTTTCGATCCGATCTTCTGGTCGGGGCGAACGCGTGGCCAGCAGGTTGGGGAAAGGGTGACGCACCCCCCCCAGGACCCCTGTACCCTCCCGCGCTGGATTTTCGTCCTTGTCAAGCCGATCTTTGGGTCTTATAGCATCTCACATGGTCATATTATTTGCGTTCATAGACAGGGATCTTTTCGGGATTCACAGGTCGAATTTTAGCACCAGAGCATGCGCGGTCATCAGCTTATAACAGGGCTGGGGCTCCTTCTAGCTTCCACTACGACCGCCTTTGTTGGGCCAGTCCATCGAGTGCAACATTCCATCACCAAACAGAGCTTTGGCACACAGGTATGTGATATACCAAAACAAGGCTTTTTTAGGTGTCGAGGATGATTATTTGATTTTTGTCTCGTTTCGAACGCACGATCTTGCGTGGGCCGAGCCCTTCCACGCATCAACCATCCGGCAATCTTGATGCGCAGACGGTCACGCATGATTTTGGATTAGTAGATAAATTAAAAAGTACGCTTACGTTTGAATTTAAAAAATGTACATAGACATGTGAGAGCAGCTCGTGCCTTGGAGTCTCCCGGCGGGAGCGTACGCGCATGATGGCCGCCACATTAGATGCGCCCCCTAAGGTACGTTCGTGCGACCTGCACGGACATGCCCGTAGAGCATGGCGCATTCGATAAGGTGGTCCGTGCGATTCCCCTTCGCGTCATAAGAATTCAAGAACGTTTGTAGCTTTATTTTTTTCCACCACCGGTCCCGAGGTATTGTTCACTCCTCAGTGCGATCCAGCATCCATGCATTGATGAACATTCAATGATGCATGTTTTCCATGTTCAAACCTACGCCTTGTTTGATTGCTTCAGATTCCGACATTTTGAGCGTTTTCATGGTTTACATATACGTTGACAACACATGGCATTTGACCACAGTCCTCGGCCGTGGAGGGGATGGTGGCGCGGCCCGATATCCGCAACATCGCCATCATCGCCCACGTCGACCACGGCAAGACCACGCTGGTCGACGCCATGCTCAAGCAGGCCCAGGTCTTTCGCGAGAACGAGAAGGTGCAAGAGCGCATCATGGACTCCAATGACCAGGAGCGGGAGCGAGGCATCACCATCCTGGCGAAGAACGCGGCCATCAACTACAACGGAGTGAAGATCAACATCGTGGATACTCCGGGCCACGCCGATTTTGGAGGAGAGGTGGAGCGTGTGTTGGGCATGGTCGACGGGGTCTTGCTCGTGGTGGACTCCGTGGAGGGCCCCAAGCCCCAGACCCGCTTCGTTCTCAAGAAGGCCCTGGAGATGGGCCACCGCGTCGTCGTCGTGGTGAACAAGATCGACCGGCCCTCGGCGCGGCCCGACTACGTCGTGGACAAGACCTTCGACCTTTTCTGTGACCTCAATTCAAGCGACGAGCAGCTGGACTTCCAGATCGTGTACGCCTCCGCCTTGCAGGGGATCTCGGGCCACGAGCCGGACGAGATGGCCAGCGACATGGTGCCGCTCTTTGACACCATCATGAAGCTGCCCTGTCCCCAGGTGCGTGCAGAGGGGGAGGACCTGATCCAGATGATGGTCGCAAACATCGACTACGACTCCTTCAAAGGGAAGATGGGCATCGGCCGGATTCTGTCGGGGAAGATGAAGAAGGGTCAGACCGTTGGCATCGCCAAGCCCGACGAGCCGGTGCGTACGGGCAAATTGGCCGAGCTCTTCTGCTTCGACAACTTGGGCCGCACCCCGGTGGAGGAGGCGTCTGCGGGGGATATTGTCATGTTCAGCGGCATCACCGACTTCACCATCGGCGACACCATCGTTGACCCCCGAAACCCGCGCCCGCTCACGCCCATCACGGTGGAGGAGCCAACTGTGAAGATGACCTTTGGCGTCAACAAATCGCCTTTGGCGGGCCAGGAGGGCACCCTCTTGACCACGCGCGTGATCAAGGACAGGCTGGCCAAGGAGTTGGAGAAGAACGTGGCCCTGCGCGTGGAAGACACGGACTCGGCCGACACCTACATGGTGGCGGGGCGCGGGCAGATGCACCTGACCGTTCTGATCGAGAATATGCGCCGGGAGGGCTTTGAGCTCTGGATCGGTCCCCCCCGGGTGATCGAAAAAGTCATCGACGGTGTCAAATGCGAGCCGTACGAGTCGGTGGAGGTGACGGTGCCGGACGAGTACATGGGCGGGGTGGTCGACCTCCTGGCCAAGCGGAAGGGGGAGATGCTCTCGATGGGCACTGCGTTGGAGGAGGGGGCGGGCTACGTGGAATATCTGGTGCCCACGCGCGGCATGATCGGACTGAGGAACGCCATGCTCACCGCCACGCGCGGGATGGCGGTGATGGAGTCCTCCTTCCACAGCTACCGGCCAAACTGCGGGGAAATCTCTTCTAGGGACAAGGGCTCTCTGCTCGCCTTCGAGACGGGGGACTCGACGCCCTTTGGGATCATCGGGGCCCAGGACCGAGGACAACTTTTCATCGAGCCCAAGATGAAGGTGTATGCAGACATGATCGTGGGGGTGCACCAGCGGCCCGGGGACCTGAAGGTGAACGTGTGCAAAGTCAAGGCCCTGACCAATATGCGCTCGGCCACCAAGGAGAAGACAGACGGGATCCAGACGCCGCTGGAGCTCACCCTGGACGCGGCGGTCGAGTACATCGCGGACGATGAGCTGGTAGAGGTGACGCCGCAAAGCATCCGCATGACCAAGCGCCCGGGCTGGGACAAGCGAAAGAGCAGCAAGTAAGCACAGGGGCCTTGTCTGGGCGCCTCGGGCTCTGTTTCTGACAGAAGTGCCACGAACACGAACGACTGAGGGTCATAAATAACTAGCACAGCCGAATCGGAGGAAGAGGAAAGGGGACAAGGGAGGGCCGGTATGGGATGGATGTGGAAAGACTGAAAACGCACTCCGTGAAGGGGTTGGGCGAATGGAATTAGTGGGAGCGGATAGGACGTGTGCAGTACCTCACGACCGTTGTTGGCATGTCGCTGTCTCAACATGGTTTGTACCGCAAGGTCGGCGACCATCGAAAAGAGTAGGGCAGGGAAAGACGGTTGGTTACGAACTTGAGAGGAAAAGCCCTGTGTGGATATAGAACACCCTTGGTAAGCGCAAAAAGAAACAAAATCGTATAGAGTCATCTCTTTGTCTTCTTCGATTTCCATGATGTTGCATATTGTTGCTGTTTTGTTATTTCTGAACGCATGCATCATTTACACATGCTCCCGCCGCCAAAACTACCCCTCTTCGAAATTGAGACCATGCACAGGCCGGGCCAGAGAGAGAAGCATTTCGAACGGGCCAACCACCGCGGCTTCAAACAGACGGACGACCACCAAGCAATGCAATTTTTGTCTCTCGGGCAATTAACGCGGACTGAGGCTGCGGCCGCCGCCTCCGTTGCGAGGAGGACTACGGGAGCGAGAGCGCGGAGGGGGTGCTCCCCGCTCGTAGGAGGGAGACCGACGGGCAGGTCGGCGTTCACGGGACTCACTCCTACGACGTCGAGGAGGCGACCGAGAATAGCGTCCTCCCCCGCCACCGTACCGGTCCTCACGACGGCCGCCGTATCCTCCGTACCTGTCGTCCCTGTCGTCGTAGCCCCGCCCTCGCCCTCCCCCACCGCCTCGTCCGCTGCCGCGAGTGTTCTGCGAAATTTCCACGCGCACCCGTTGAGAGAGAATGGATTTTCCATTTAATTCTGCGCAGGCGTCCTGTGCGTCTCGTTCATCCTCAAAAGTTACGAAAGCAAATCCTGCTCATGTTTGAAAACGGGAAGCAGAAGCGGACGGTGAGTCATCTTTTCCCTTCATGCTGTACCCTCCTTCAGCTTCCAAAGCCCAAAAACTCGCCTCCCGTGATTCTAGGGTGTACTGATCTTACCGGGTGGCTTGCGAGCAATCCAAATGTGGGCGATTTTCCCGTAGCGATTGAACTCCTTGTCCAGGTCCCGGTCAGTCGCGTCAGGATCCAGATTCCCGACGTACACTTTGCACTCAGGCATGTCTAATGAGCGTAGGTTTGGCTTGTGCTGATGTTAAGTATGATGGTGGAGGTGGTTGTAGTGCAATGGAGGATGATGTTTGGGTAAGACGAAAGCGATAGGAGACGTAGAAGATGAATGAAGGAGGGTGCGGTAGAACCTTGCCGGGCAAATTCACGTGCAGGCAAAATCGTACAAGCCGTGGATGTTTCAATCGTAGACGTAGGTGTGTGATGCTGAAGGCAAAGGCTCGAATAGTTGGGGAGATAAGGAAGCAATATCTCACTGTCTGCGAAAGCTTGTTGCTCTTCCGCCTTTACAAGACGACGCAAATGAAGACATGAAGGGCAACACCATGCAGAGAAGGGGGAGATGATGGAAAGGGACGAAGAGACGACATGTTTATGGGGTGGAGCGTGATCATTGTTGTGAAGCGAAGGGAAGGAGGGTGAAGAGTAGAGCAGGAGGAAGGACGCAGACGAGGATGCAGTGCAGATATGGAGATGATCTCGGCGGGGAGGAGGAAGGAGAGAGCGCAGAGTGGAAAGTGGGAGCCGAAGGGCAGGCGTCGGCATCTTCACGAATTCCGTGCGAGCGCACCAAAGTAGTGAGGGCAAGGCAGTGGCGTGGCACAAGCCCGAGAGTGGGATAGATAGCGGGGACGAAAGACAGCCATCAAGAAGGAAGAGCTGGGGGCAGGCGCCTCAAGGGGGGGGAGGTTACTCCTTCGGCGTGGGGACAAAAAGGAGTTTTCACGCACGGACCGGCGAATAAAATGACTTGAACGCATCCCTATTTACAACGATAGAAGAGTCAGACTTTTTGGAGAAGAATTTCCTGCAGCTTTTGCTATGGGTTCCTTAAAAAGGCTTCG